CTGGCGGCGGCTCGGCTGTGGCTCCCAGCCGGTCTCCTCTGCTGGGCACTGACCTGCCTGGCTCACCTTGCAGGTACATCCCTGAGGGCATGCAGTGCTCATGTGGTATTGACTATTACACTCTGAAGCCAGAGATCAACAACGAATCTTTCGTCATCTACATGTTTGTGGTTCACTTCATGATCCCGCTGATGATCATTTTCTTCTGCTATGGGAACCTCGTTTGCACTGTCAAGGAGGTGGGTACCAGCCAGTGGCAGTGGGCTGGGGGCCATCCCCGTCCCCAGTGCTGGGAAGGGGCCCACCCCAAGCTCCAGCCTGGTCCTCCACGAAGGGGGAAATAGCAAACCCCAGATGTGCAGCTCAGCTACCCCAAGCCCTGACCCCATGTCCCGTGCTGGTGCAGCCCTCCCCAACTCCATCACATTTCCATTCCCTTCTGCTCGCAGGCTGCCGCCCAGCAGCAAGAGTCCGCCACCACCCAGAAGGCAGAGAAGGAAGTGACCCGCATGGTCATTATCATGGTCATCGCCTTCCTGATTTGCTGGGTCCCCTACGCCAGCGTTGCTTTCTACATCTTCACCAACCAGGGGTCAGACTTCGGGCCCATCTTCATGACCATCCCGGCATTCTTTGCCAAGAGCTCTTCTATCTACAACCCTGTGATTTACATCGTCATGAACAAACAGGTAACTGGCAGGATGCCTGGCAACCTCGTTTTTTGTGTTTTGCTTTGCAGCAGCTTGCAGAGAGTTACAGCACCTTGAGGTACCAGCGGCCTGGGGGGAAGTGGCCTGGGGGGGAAGCTTGTTCCAGCACTCGGGAGGCTGATGGTGCAGCTTATCCTTGGCGTTGTGTAAATCTCACAAACATAAGCCCATCCCTGGGTCTGAAACGACCCAGGTGCTGGGTCGGTAGAGGAGCTGGGGCTGCATCCGCCCCAACCCTGAGGGGCAGGCAGGGCTGACAGTGGGGAAGGAGACTCCACCGGCATGGTGCCTCCCGTGCTGCGGTGGTGGGGGCTTCCAAGCAACTCTGCCAGGCTCCCACCCGGCCACCTGCCTCACCCCGGGCTTCCCTCTCTTCCAGTTCCGTAACTGCATGATCACAACCCTCTGCTGCGGCAAGAACCCGCTGGGCGACGAGGAAACATCTGCTAGCAAGACAGAGACCTCCTCCGTCTCCACCAGCCAGGTCTCTCCCGCG